TCCCTGGTTTCTCAGGAAGTCTCCTTTTATACCCTGCTGGGCCTGGACTGGCTCTGCCCCCCTCATAAAGTCTTTTGTCTGGCACAGGCAGCAATCACTAAGCAATCACTCAGATAGCAACACTTCCAGCTTCTCAGAGCATACACCCAAAACATACACAGCCCACCAAACAAACATTCATCAAGCCACAGGCACAGGCAGCCCTTGATCACTTACCTTTCCCTTGCAGGATCTGGTGCCTGGGTTTAGGGCTGTGCGAAACGGCACTGTTCCATTCTGACTTCAGTTTCAAGGTGTAGATGGAACAGTGTTTTGTATCAAATATAATTTTGAGTCAAAACAGTGAGGTTGTTTTGATGCTGCTTCGACCATTTCTCTGGACCATGGGGCTGGGGAAATGAACTCAGCCCAACTGGACTGAGTTTCCAACCCCAGCTGGGAGGCGGGAAGTCAGCTGGGCTGACTTCCCTGATTGCATGGGGAGGCAGCCCAGCTGAACTGCCTCGCCATCCCCCGCACTAGCCATGGCTTCTTTTCCTCTTTTCCATCTTCCTTTTGCTCCCAGAAACCGCTTGCAAACTGCCTATTTTGTTTTCTGGCTTTGTGTTCTCTCTGTTCCCTTTGAGTTTTACAGGCTGCCATTTGCCTTAATGACTCCTGGTTTCATTTAGGATTTTTCTGGGTCAGGGGCTGTATTCATGCCTTTGCAGACAGGATCTCATTGGGTGGCATCTGATTCCATCAGTGAGGAGGCTGCAGCTATTCCCTTTGTCGTGCTGTGTGTATTGCTGGAATGATGGAGCCACTCCAACTCCTGCTGAAGTTAATGGCTGTTTGTCCTGCATACCAGCCCTGAGAGCTGGGCTGAGCTCCAAATATGTTCTATGGTGAAAGGCAAATACAGTAATCAGACAGCTCAGGCCAATACACTGGACCATGGTCTTAAGGTAAAGCTGCATTGGAATTGACGTCCTCATGCCTCTGACCTGACACCAGCCATTCTCATCTGGGTCTGCATACAACCAGAAGGCTCTTAGCTTCCTGAACTGCTCTTAGCAGTTCACACCCCATCTCTGAAGTGGATGTGAGAAATGAGAGCGTAGAGATGAGAAACCTGGGACAAACTGTCTTGAGGCTGAGGTGGTTTTATTGTCACTTCTTTATGGGCCAGCAGCTACCCTTGCCCAACCTGAGGTGTGGGTCTCAAATCTAAGGGCTTCTGATTCCTGAGGTAATTTATAACTACAAATTTCCAGCAAATGTCCTGTTTCCCCTTAAGGCCATCCCTGACCTGCTAGATTATTTTTTTCACTTGTACCCTTTAGATGTTATAGCAACCTCTGTGGCTCCCTATACACATGCTTGGTGGTGGTTCCTGGATAGGTGCTCTAATTAAAATGACCCACTATCACATGTATTAAGCCCTTATGCATTTCAAAATGGCTGTGGGATGCTTTATCTAAAGCTCATTTGATGCGATTTAGATAAAGTGCCCCCACGGCTATTTTGAAATGTGCAGGGGCTTAATACATGTGATGGTGAGGTGACGCTGGAGCATTCTAATTAGAACATGAACAAACACATCTATAAGGACCCTGTCATTCTACATGGTCAGATATGAAGCTGAGATTTGGCAGCAGTTCTGCTTGAATGGTGATGGATGCCCCCTTTTCTTGTTGGTCCTCTTTAGAGCCTTCTTAAAATCATCAGAATAACCAAGGACATGGAAGGGGCTTGGATGCCACTTATGAAATCTAGTTCCTCGAAGTGAAGATGCACTCTGGCTCCTGCTTTTGATGGTGCTCTGTATAGCACATTGATATCTTACAGAGGTCTCCAGCATTGCTATGCACAGATATATTTGAACAGTGAGATTGTGAATTGGAGGTCAAGTCTCCAGGAGACAATCATATGAAGTTCTTGCAGTCCCTGCAGGAATCTGGGGCACAGAAAACACAGTAGGAAACTTTATGTATGGATGATGTGTTTAACCTGCTTTAAGTGTGATCTAATAGCTAGGAACACAAAGCCAGCTCACCTGAGCACTCATGTTCCTGCAGCTCCCCATAAAGGCCAACCACTCTTTACCATGTGAGAGCCTCTGCATTAGGAGGGCAGTGTTTCTAAACTGCCACAGAGTATGGGTAGCCACTCATTTGATTTAGCCATGACAACAGATGCCTGGGTAAGTCTAACGCACGGAGCAGTGTGGTATTTACCTACAGATGTCCAAATGGAAGCTTTTTAGTTGTCTAAGTGGCATTTTGGCACTCACAAACAGGTAGCCCTTGTTTTCCTAGACACATAATCCTGCACGTGTAGACAGCAACGTAGGAGTGTATTTGGGCACAAGTTGCAGCGCTACGGTGGCAGTGGTGGAGGATCCTCCCATTTCAGCCTCAGTAGTTGAGTGTTTAGACCACTTGCCTGCACCACATATGGCCCTCTTGTGGCTGGTCAGGGGCCAACTTCAGAAGGGGGCACCAGAGAAGGGTTTGGGTAATGCTTAACCTGTGGCATGGACAAGAAGGACCTAGAACCTGGGTCTTTGGCTTCCCAAGTGAGTGCTCCTCCCACTAGTCATGGGTTTGGGGCCACCTACATTTCCATACCTTATGTGCTCATACACAGGTGTAGCAGAAAGCCCCTTTTCCTCTTGCCTGCAGTTGCTCTCCCCTCCTTGGATATGTTTTTCCTCTTCTACCTTTTCTCCTTCCTCTTTCTTTCACTTTAAGATAAGGAATTGTGTTTTGAAATTTGTGTGTGTGCATTTTGTATCTCCCCTTGTATTTTGGTATTTTTATCTATTTGTGTGCCATGGCATTACTTTTGTAGCTTATATTTTATACTCACCTTTCAACTTTCAACTAAATGTGTTTAGTTTCATAAGTAAGTTATACATTGTAACAATGTTAACAAGGGCAGGAATCAAACTGCCCTTCCCTGTATCAGGCTGGCCCCTGAAAGAGCGAGTGAATCAGTGATTGAATGTGTAACACGGTAGCAGGCAGCAATTAACACCTAAGGAAACTGCAGATCAACCAACGAAGAACTCAATAGAAGACAATGTAGCAACCGGGACATCTCTAAATGTCACTGATCAAGGGCTAGAAGCCCTGGCCTGAGTTAATCAACGCCGGGGACCAACTTTTGGGCTGAATATCTCCAAATCGACTGCTCCCAGAGCCCTATTCAAAATTCATCAACGGATGCCCAAACCTGCACGTACATGTGGATGACCCCTGTGGCTGACAGATGCCATCCAGTAGCCACCGAGGGGGGAAGTCCCAAGAGGGTCAACGACCCCTGGATTGGGCAAACCTGAAAACTGGGGAGTCACCAAAGTCTGCCAAGGGCAGATAAAAAGCAGTGAAAAGTGACCCTCAGCAGCACCCTCTTGATCTCCAACTTGACCAGCACCCGACCTGTCCAGCCAGAAGGACCAGCCGGCGACCCCCTTCTGGAAGATAACACCATGCTGAAAGAAGCCTCAACGGCAGATTCCAGCACCTGTGGGATAGGTATACCTGACTCTTGTAGCTTGCTACTGTGTGTGTGTGTGTGTGGAAGGACCAGCCCCAAGGTTTATGATTTAACTCATTATAGTGTTTCAATATGCCTAATAAACCAGAATTTTAAGGATCCCGAGTTGGACATTTGTAGCCAACACAGGTACAAGGGCTGTGTATACATAGCTAGGCACGTACACATCCAGTTTGTAGCCTACTGTGCATGCTCAGCCTATACATGTAGCAAGTACACCCACATATGTCTCCACACTGGTGGGAAACAGAATAGTTATCTGTGCATCAGTGCCCCAAATGCTCCTTTGACTTAAAAGCCTGCCACTTATATGACCACAGGGAAATGAAACGTCCCTCATAATGCTGAGCTCTTCTGTGAGAACACACCCTTCTGTACCCATTTTGCTGTCAGCCATACATGGCTAAGGTGTGCATATGAAACTGTGCCAGAAGGCAGGGCCCCCCAGGAGGGTCATGTGGGTCTTAGTTATCCTAGGATAAATAACCAGCTGTGAATATCCAAAAGCTCTCTATATACATAATAAAATGAGTCACCATAAACTTAGTGTATAGGTTGTCATTATTACTGAAGTATGGGCATGGTTATAAAGATCTGGGTGGCTACAAAGAAAATCCATGACAAACCTAGGCAACAGTGTATGTCTATATAATTGCTTTGAGAAATAAGCACTCAGCATTTACGGTGGTCTCAAGACCCTCTAGTAATTACTGATTTAATTTTTTGCTAACATAATTAATTGGTCAAATATTTGCTACAGCTAATGCTGGGTATTTTTTACTGGAATGTACTGGTGCTCCTGCCTCTACTTAGAAAGGCCACAGGTTCCTGGATGGAGGGTCTTGATCTTTTACTCAGGGTCACAGTGATCATTACATTTGGGGGCAGGAAGGGATTTTTCCCATGGCCAGATTGGCACAGGTAGTGATGGTGGGGGGTGGAGGGGTTGCCTTCCTCTGTAGCAGGGGAGAATGGTTATGGTTGTTTTACGAGGTACTTCTAAACATGAACTTACTGACTACTTCCCTTTCATACCAGTGGAAGGGTTGCTACTGGGGATTTATAATGGTTGCTAGTTTGCCTATCAAGCAATCCACCATTCTCCTACCTCACTTCCACATAAATGCAGGTTGCTGAGTACGCTTGACTTTCTAGCTGATTTTGAGTTGAGAATGGAGAGCACCATCAACGCTTTTGTGCAAAGTTGAAGCTAAAAGATTTTATGTGAAAATGATCAGAAAAACTCTACCATGGGCAAGGTGGATTTGGTTTCAACATGACAGATGTTTATATGTCCAGAGAAGGAAATTACATGGTGAAAGTGGGAGGCCCCTAACTTTGGGAAAGATCAGTATAGTTTTTATATTACCCAAATGGGTCTGATATAATCATCTTCACGCACAGACACATCCAATAGGTATATATATTATATTATATTTATATATATATATACACATTAACAAAGAAGTTGCAAAGAACCCAAAACAAAACAAATATGTTACATATGAAGAGAAAGTATGAGAGTTGCACTGTAACCAGAATTTCACCACATCCCAAGTCATATACAATGGATACTATGATACAAACATCCATCAGCAGCACAGAGCCCTGCAAGAGGCAGAAATACAGATGACACATGAACTTCCTGCAGTGACTCGAACCAATAGTCACTGGTCCTTTTCCCTCTGTGATTCTGCAACCCCTCTGAACAGGATGCTGCAAAAAGACAGAAAGCTTTCCGCGTTCATTCAAAGTCAGGGGCAGCAGAAGCTGGATGGGTTTGGATTGGTTGAAATTGCCATTGTGTCACTATTCCACCAGTCAGTTTTCACCAATGGGATTGGTTGCTAACAGGGTGAAGGCAAAGGTAACAAGCAGCAGGGGAGTTTTGCCTGGAAAGAGGATCCATCTACATCTGCAGAAGTGGGGATGGCTCTCTAGTGTAGGTGCCTGACTTGGACTGAGTTTTCTAGTGTAGGAACCAGACTTCACTCCTGGACTTGTCTAAGAGAGGCAAATGACTTGCTTTCCCCACCCTCCATTTAATAACAATTGTGGTCAGGTTTTGCTATTAAAGAAATACTGCAGAGAAAAATGCAGGCAACTTAGAAATTGTTCCTAACCTCAGCACTTTCTTTGGACTGTGCTGGGTCTTCTCTTTCCCACCAGCCACATAAGCACTATGGTTCCCCTCCCGTCTGTCATTGTTTCAATACTTAACCCTACTGTAACTAGTGCAATTTCATTACGTGCAAACATCACGTTAATGGCTCGTGTGCTCTGAGTTAATGGATGAGACAGAGTCCTCCAACAGAAATTCTGTCAGAACTGTGCCAGGGCCAGGCAACAAAAGCTTGGCACCCATTTTACAAAGGCTAGAATACATCTATAGTACTCAGGCATCCATTCAAGATGGATGCACTAGCAGCCTGTTGGGCTCACCACAAAGGGGACAGAATTAAATGGTATCCCTATGTGGCTCTGAAAACATCAACTTGAAAATGGCAATTTATCTCCATAAAACAAATGTGATTTTGTGCTTAGCTGCAGGGTAAGGCAGCTATGCAGCTTTGAATCCCTACCCAGTGCTGGCCGATGCTTGGGCCAGGGTAAACAAGTAAAAACCTTCCCTGTGCTCTGAAGTTGTCCATCACACCCTATGAATTACTGCCCTTCAATGATGGCAATAGCAGCCCGGATCAGTGTCAGGGAAAGCCAATCCATCTTCCATTTCCAGAACAGCACCAGGGGGCATATAATTTTTCTGCAGAGAAAATACCTTGCCCCTCCACCCCCCCAACCCACCATTAGGCAACCAGTCACAGTAACTGCTGAATTCATAAGGGCGAGAAATTTGTAGAGCGAATCAATTATGCTCTTTAGACACCCCATCCCTGTGAGGAGCTATCACTTTTCTGCTGGTACTGACAGCAACTCAGAGTTAATGAAAAGTATCCTTCAGCACAGATTGTTCAAGGCTCTGCAGCCTTTCCTATCTTTCATATCAGCCAGAACTGCAAACCTTTTACAATGTGCTGCCCAAAGAACTTATTTGACATAGCTGGAGGGAATGCAGGCACATCCTGTCCTTACTCAAACCCTAAAGAAGGATGTGATGCTGCAGACTTTGTCCGTGAGTGTGGCAGCTGCATAATGAGGTACACAACGGCTTGTGAGAGGTGAGGAAGCTGCTAGAGTGAAATGAAGATAAAGAAGGCAAAGCTCAGGCAAAGGAAGTGCATGTCAAACAGAATCAAAGCCCCTCAGATAGTTCAGGAAGGCAGAACGCAGGTGGGGAGGAGGCAATACACTTACTATCTTATTCAAGTAAGGAAATCTCAGATGTTTTCTCCAGGTGGCTGGCATTGCTCTGCAGGCTGTCCCACTCTGAGTCTGTATTCTCTGAGCCCAGGAGATGATTGGACGGCAGCCCAAGTGCATGCTACATACAGATCCAAGTTTAACAAGCCTCTCTCTGTGTCTGCTCAAAAACCCCACTGTCTATGAACCTCCCTTCAACATGGTAAGTTGCCCACTTACTGAAATCACTCCATCTGAATGAATCAGCCTGTCTTAAGAGGCAGCATTATGAGGTAGTTTTCCCATCAGCAAGACACAATGCTCTCTCCCCATTTGAAAAAAAAAAGAGGAAAAATTAAAGACAATTTCAGTTCATGAAGGAGCCATTCCACAGGACCCCCAAGAAGCTCAAACAAGGAAATGTTGCCAGAGGGAGAATTTCCAATGAAACCCAGATTCTGGTCTGGATCCTGTCAGCCAGACTCCTTGTCCAGAAGAAAGATTTCTCAAACTAGGAAGTTTTATTGATGTCAGTTTGACGCTGGGCCCCTTAAGCAAGGTATCCCTTTCAGATGGCAAAAGAAAAGCCAACGGACTGGTGGGCAAGTAGCCACAGCATAGCTTCTGTCCTTTGAAGCAGGACTTTAGTGTTGTAGCTACAATAATCTAGGAAATACATGAGAAGCAAGACTTGTTTGGTAATAATCTTTTACTGGGAGAGATGTTAGGGGAGATGGTGGTGAAACTGCTTTCCTCAGGTCTGGGAAAGAAGCAGATACAGCTCAAGCTAAATACTGTAGAACAATGACTTTTGTTTAACTCCATGTCAATGAAAATAAAGAAATGGAAGAGGACAGTAAACCTGTGGAACAAACAGAAGTTAGCTGAATTACTCGCCTCTTTTTCTCCTTGAAGGGGCTATTTTCATTTACATAATGGGGTACATAAAGCAATTTGTTCTACCTGGTATTTAGCTTCAGCCCTGTCTGCTTTTTTCCCAGAGGAAGGGCACTTTGTTAGACAAGCTTTCAGGCACATCTCCCCCAAATATATAATTGGTTCAGTAAAAGGTATCACCAAACAAACTTCTCACAGCTTTTGGTAGGCAGGGTGCAAACCTAATCTGAATCTGTCCATAGCCATAGCACAGCCTTTCCTTTGCATCCATGGAAATAAGACTTCATACTGTTTCTCATTTGTGTGGAATTACAACATCTAGCTCCCCAATCAAACCAAGGCCCCAGTTTGCAGTGTTTGCATCCTCTAGGTTTTTTCTCCTCAGGATCCACCTTCCCCTGCCTAACTTCTGTCAGTGTTGATGACTGGGTAAAAAGGCTCCTCACTATAAAAAAGTGAAATAGTCTGGTTTGAAGAGTCAGTCTCATTCTGCTTGAATAGCAGTTTGAGGTGCCTGGATAGGGAGACAGCCTGACAAAATAGGATTAGCAAAGACCTTGGGGGTTCTCAAAAAACTGAGATAAATGGCAAGAGGATGGAGAGTCCCTGCAAATGTGAAGGCCCTGGGACTAAATTTTGCTTTGGGAATAGCCCTGTGTTTTCTCAGACAGGGGAAGTGGTCATATTTCCAACAAATGTTGCCAGGACAGGCTGCCCTGCCATTTCTGGGACTAATTTTGATCTTTTTGCTATCTGCCTTTATATAATTTGCCAGTCAAACCTCAAACAAACTCAACCTATGGAAAAGAAAGTGCATTCTGAGTAGATCTCTGTGCAGAAGCAATGGTACAGCTCTTGCACATAAATAATGGATAAATTCCTCACACACTACAGAGTAATCACATACCTTATGGACCACTTGCTCCATTTCGCTTCTGTGCAGATGATTCTGCTCTGCCTGTCTGAGCTTCCCTTGCCAGGTGGCAACAGCAGCAACATGAAAGGTGACCCTGGCTCTTTCCAAAGCCCCCATTCACAGAAGATAACGCTCTTTCTGGGGGAACATCTTGCATTACACCATGAGAAGTTGAAGCAGAGATATCCATGTGACGTGTTGGCTTCTACAGCCTGGTCACATCTCCAAAGCAAAACACAACATATCCTAACAGTGAGAGGGAACACTGCATGATGGAACCAATGCTGCACAACTGGACCTCAATTTGTTCTACATCACACAGATTAGGTATCGGCCAGTGGGCTGGCTTGGCTGGGGTCTCCCTGATTTACACTGAAATATGGCCTCCTAAAGAAGACAGTTAGAAAATAGGGATAGGGATAGGCTTAACTTTCCTCTGCCACAGGATTTGAGATCTGAGTGCTTGACGAGCGGGAGTTGTTGAATGCTGCTGAAGGCAGCAGGCTCATCCCTGAGAGAACAGTTCTCCCAGTGCCAGTTCCACCTAAACATACTGCTTACTGTGTAAAAGGCTCTAGCTTTCTGGTTGTGGGCACTTCTCTGGATATAAGAGTTACGCTGCTTGTTTTATCTTTTGTCCTGAAGATGCTGCTAAATGGAGCTTCCTGCCTGACTGGTGATTTTGCAGGCCTGCTTAGCATTTCTTGCAAGGCTACGAGGCCTTGCTGATTCTGCTCTTCTACAAGCTCATACCTGGAGAGAGCTGTTTTCTTACCACTCTCCTTTGGATATATCCACTCCACCAATATCTCTTGAGGGGACCATGGAACCAGCATTGTGCCCATCCAAGTGGCTAAGGAGGTGGCACTAAGCCTCCCCCACCACTGTCCTCAGCCCCCAAATAAAACCAAAACAATCCACATGACAATCTGGTTTGAGAAATTCAATCACACCACAAGGGAGTTTCACAAGCTTCATTCACAAAGAAATGGAGCTTGTCAACAAAGTTTATTTAACAGCTTTTTAAAGTTTCTTCCCCACACCCCCCTTAAAAAAATTAGCTTCATGTGAGAGAGTATTTGCTTGCTGAGCACTATATAGCTGGCTGCAGGAAGTGCTTCCTTGATCTAGGCTGTTCGGAAGCTCCCAAGGGCTGGCTGCTGACTACTAGCTCCTGTTAACAATCTCCACGCAGGACTGTGGAGAACAGGAGGTGCAGGCTGCAGCTTAGTGACAAGCTTTCATCCCTGATACATACGGGGACTCCTGGGGCCTGCAATTACACTCCTGCTGCTCTGGGTAATCTATGAAGTCTGGGGCAGGCAGGCCTGAGAGGATCATCAAAGATTTGTTCCAGATGGTAAATGTTGGACAGACTGGGAGAATGAAAGAAACTTCAAACGTATGCAGATGGAGAGAATTTGCCGGGTCATAGAAGGACAGGGCATTGTTGTCATAATCCAGGAGGATGCCAAGGCGCTTCATCTGAGGGTGGACCTCCACCAGCATTTCTTTGTTGTTGTGTCTCACCACGAAGTTGTTGTTGCAGCGAGAGAAGACCCAGGAGGAGGAGTTCTTGCCAATCCACTCATTCTTTGGGGCAGACTTATATGCTACGCCAATAGCATACCTAGAGCAGAGAGTAATAGACACACATTACCAATTTAAATCCACTGACATACAAAATCCAGGTCCCCGAAGGCTAATTTAGCTGTCTATTTCGAGTGCATACATTCCCCGCAAAATGGGGCTGCACCCAAACAAGCCACTGGATGGAAAATGAGAGGGGGTTTCCCAGATATCAGCTGCTCTGCTCATGTGCAAGCTCTTACTCTACCATGCCTGAAGTTAACCTGCAGTAGCTCAGCTCTCAATGGAAGGGGGGTAAACTACCACTGACTAGTTTTCACCCACTGGGGAGTAAGAGCATGCACACAGGCCATTACCACAGAGTGGCTGACATGATGAAACTCCCCACCCTTCTACTTTCCAGTAATTTGTTACTCCTGCATGTAACTTCATCTCTCTGTTTTACCGTGATGACCCCAGAATACAAGCTATACATGGATTTGCTACAAGCAAGCTGCAAAGTGGGACCAAGACAACAGCAGAAGATACACACTGAAAAAACATGCATGCCAGAAAGTTCCCTGGTGGAACTGATTTCTAGTCACAGATGACATGTGCCAACTTGCTATCAAGCCTGCATATTCCCATTCCAAGTTCCTCCATAATGGAATGTTTTAAAAGGAAACTTACCCAAAGCAAAGGAAGGACATTTGGAATCTAGGCCACAATTTGGGTCATAGGTGGAAAAGGATTTTAGTGAAAGGGAGCAATTAGGGACAATAAAAATAAATAACCACAGACTCCAGAGCAAGGGTTTTCAACCTTTTTGGGTAAGTGTACCCCCGATGGCCAGTCAAGAAGGAAGAAGTCCCACAGTGGCCGATCGGCAAGCAGGGGTGGGGTGCAGGGTCCCTCACCAACCTGTCGACGAGTGGGGTGGGGGAGTCCCCCCAGCAGGGGACAGAACAGCAGAGGCTCCCCATGCCTGAAGAAGGGTGACTGTGCCCGAAAGCTTGCCAAGAAATTTTTTCCAAATACTTAGTTGGTCTAATAAAAGATATTAGATCTACTCAAAGAACCGTGTCTGCCTATTTTCTTAGACCAACACAGCTACAACCAAAAACCCAGCAACATGGGAGATTTCACAGTGGCTTCAGCACAGAAATTGTTACATTTTTTTCTCAGCAGAGCCCATCTGGCTGCTTTACAACGCGCCATCTGTTTCCTACAATGCTCGTCCCAATAGCACAAGTAGCACAAAACAGCTTTACACTACAGAAAATGAGCCTACAGCAGCTCTGCTAAGAAAAGCATTATTCCCTTCCAGCCCAGTCTCTTTCTGCCAGGAAGGGAGAAGGGCTAGAAGTGACACAGGCTGGCTCTTTTAGGAGGAACTGTGCATTTCAAGCCCACTGTGTCAGCAAAAGCAAAACAGCTTTAAAAAGGTGGTATCAGCTTGTCAGTGTTTCTTTAATGTTTGGTGGCTAACTCCTGCTGTACAAGGGGAAGATCAGAGGCAGCGCCTTCCTAGGAATTTGGCTGCTGGGACTTACAGCGTTGCAAACTCCATTCTCTAGTCACATTTGAGTGCGTATGTGTGGGGTGGGGGGGGTGGAGCTCCTGATGTGAAAGTGTTTTTTAACACCTAGGAAACTTTAAATATGAGTTCATCAACATAAATAGCTTGAAAGCAGCTTGCCTTGTTTATGTTCTATATCCAGTTCACACATGGGGTTAACCATTTAAAACAGCTCCCACATCCAGGAGTGGCACACCTGCACACAGCTGTTAGGGGGTCCTAAGGCAATCAAAGAAGTGTTACAAGAAGGTTAGGCAGCTGAAGGGGGATTGTGGAAGGAAAATGGAGGTATTGGGTCTTTGGCATCCAGTAACTTCTGGCAGAGATTAGGGACTATGCCATGCCTGCTCTGAACTCATCCAGTAGCAAGAATGAAGAATGAGAAAGGTGGAGGCCGAAGGAAATATAATCAAATTTTAGGGAAAGGAACATAGGTTTTGTTGCACCCGTTCAATGCCCACTGACACATATCTGGTATCCTGCCTCAGGCAGCAGCCAATCTTGGATTCTTCAAGGTAAAACAAGAAGCATCGTCAGGGGATGGGGATGCAGAGGTGCAGGAGGACACTTTGATGTCAAGCCAGGTGATGCGAGCAAGAACAACCCAGGTAAGTGACAAGGGCCTGGACAAGCTTGGGAACAAGAGGGCAGTACGAACACCCATAGGAGGGCTCAACTGCCTCTACACAAATGCTAGAAGTATGGGGAATAAACAGGATGAACTCACCCTCCTGTTAGCTAGCAAAAACCCAGACCTGGTTGGGCTTACAGAAACCTCGTGGGATTCTACCCACGACTGGGCAGTAGACATTGAGGGCTGTAGGTTGTATAGATAGGATAGAATCAGGAAAAAAGGGGCGGGGGTGTAGCACTCTATGTTAGAGCAGTACACGTCCTCAATGATCAGGATGGGGTCAGAGGAGGGGCAAACTGAGGCGCTCTGGGTTAGAATGCAAGGGGGTCATGGGGAAAGGGACTTGGTAGTGGGTGTCTACTACAGACCACTTCACCGGGGGGATGAGCTGGACCTGGAATTTTCCGGTCAGCTCACGGAGGCTGTAAGGACAAGGGATATGGTTGTCAGGGGTGACCTAAACTACCCAGACATCTGCTGGGAGGATCAGTCAGCCAGGTCTGAATGCTCATGTAGGTTTTTAGCCTACATACAGGACCTCCACCTAACCCAGGAGGTACACAATCCCACCAGAGGAAATGCCTTGCTGGACTTGGTCCTTGCCACAGGTGATGACCTGGTGAGGAATCTGCGGGTGCTCGACTACCTAGGTGTTAGTGACCATCGTCTGCTGGAATTTACTACCTGGTGCAGGGCAGTGAAAGCAAGCATCAAGGCAAAAGTCCTTGACTTCAAGAGGGCCAACTTCAATTTGCTAAGGAGATTAGTGAGAGAGACATTGGGGACTCGGAGCCTCAGTGAGATGGGAATCCAGGACAGATGGTTGTTCCTTAAGGAGATGATCCTCCGATCTCAGAGGGAGTCAGTCCCAACGTGAACCAAAGGGGGCAAGGGTGCTAAAATACCCCCTTGGCTCAGTAAAGGCATCCAGGAGGTCCTGAGGGCAAAAAAGGTGGCATACAATCAGTGGAAGCAAGGGGCAATCACCAAGGAGGATTACACTTCCATTGCTAGTGATTGCAGGGAGGCTGTTAGGAAGGCCAAGGCAGAGGCAGAACTAGGGCTGGCAACCAGAACGAAGGATTGAAAAAAGTCCTTTTTCAAACATATAGGGAGCAAGAAGAAGGCACCAGGGAACGTGGGGCCCCTACAGGACAGGCTTGGCAATCTGGTGATTTCAACAAAAGAAAAAGCTGATCTATTCAATGAGTTCTTTGCCTCCATATTTCTGAGCAGGGACCAGAACAACTCCCCCACTAAGATTACGGACAGGCTCAGGGGACACAACACCATGCCTAAGGTCAGGGACAATTTAGTTAGGGAACTTTTGGAGGGGCTGGACGTGTTTAAATCAGCAGGTCTGGATGCTCTTCATCTGAGGGTACTGAGGGAATTGGCAGAGGTCCTAGCAGGGCCCCTGGCACGGCTGTATGAGCGCTTGTGGTGCTCTGGTCAGGTCCCAGAGGACTGGAAAAGGGCCAATGTGGTTCCCATTTACAAGAAGGGGAGAAAGGAGGACCCGGGTAACTATAGGCCAGTTAGTCTCACCTCGGTCCTTGAGAAGAACTTTGAGAAAATTATCAAGGAGCACATCTGTGGGGACCCAGCAGGGGAGGTAATGCTCAGGGGCAACTAACACGGGCTCACTGCAGGCAGATCCTGCCTGACTAACCTTGTTTCCTTTTACAACCAGGTCACAAAGTCCTTGGATGTGGGCGTTGAGGTGGATGTCATCTACCTGGACTTCAAGAAGGCCTTTGACACTGTTTCTCACCCCATTCTCATAAAAAAACTAGGCGACTCTGGCATTGATGCCTACACAGACAGATAGGTGGCAAATTGGCTCATTGATCACACCCAGAGAGTAGTGGTGGACAGATCGTTTTTGACCTGAAGGGATGTGGGCAGTGGAGTTCCCCAGGGCTTGGTCCTCAGGCTTGTGCTATTCAACATCTTTATCAGCAACTTGGAGGTGGGTGTGGAAAGCACATTGTCCAAATTCGCTGATGACACAAAGATGGGGGAGAAATGGGCACACTGGAGGGGTGGGACAGAATCCAACTAGATCTAGACAGGTTACAGCGCTGGGCGGATGAGAATAGGATGGAATTCAACGCAGACAAGTGCAAGCGATGCATCTAGGGAGAAGGAACCTGCAACATACCCATAGGCTGGGGTGTTAACACCCTTCTCAACAACACAGTGGCTGAAAGGGATCTTGGAGTCATTGTTGACTCCAGGATGGACATGAGCTGCCAATGCGAGGAAGCGATCAGTAAGGCTAACTACACTTTGTCGTGCATCTACAGATGCATCATAAGCAGGTCCAGGGAGGTGATCATTCACCTCTATGCAACACTGGTCAGGCTGCAATGGGAGTACTGCATCCAGTTCTGGGTGCTGCACTTCAACAGGGATGTGGCTAACCTCCAGAGGGTTCAGAAGAGGGCCACTCACATGGTCAGGGGGCAGCAGGCCAGGCCCTATGAAGATAGACTAAAGGGCCTGAATCTATTCAGCCTCCATAAGAGAAGACTAAGACTGAGAGGGGATCTGGTGGCCGTCTATAAACTCACCAGGGGAGACCAGCAGAAAATAGGTGAGGCTCTATTCCCCTGGGCACCACCTGGGATAACAAGGAATAACGGCCACAAATTAATTGAGAGCAGGTTCAGGCTCGATATCAGGGGGCATTACTTTACGGTTAGGGCTGCCAGGCTCTGGAATGGGCTCCCAAGCGAGGTGGTGCTCTCCCCTACCTTGGGCGTCTTCAAAACGAGGTTGGATACATTTCTGGCTGGAGTATTATGATCCTAGCACTTGTTCCTGCCCAGGGCAGGGGGTCAGA